CACCTTATCATCTATCCACCACCACAAGTGCCAAGCCGCTACTTGATATTCAAAGCCTCAATTTGTTTTCCTATAAGCTTGTTGTCCGACCTCTTTTCTTTCTTTAAATCTCTATTTCTCACAAACCATATTTTTTTTTTCTGAAATTTTTTATACCTATTTACAAATTTATTAAAAACATATCTATCAAATTTTATATGAAATAGATACTCTAATAATTAATTGTCCTAGAACTTATTTTTTCTTTGTATGAACTTGGTTTTTATAACTACAATACTTCTTGCTAATAGGATAATCTTCTAAATATTTCTTTATAAACCTCTATAATAAGTTATTAATTAAAAATTAAAAATTAATATATTTTATAGTTTTTATCTAATTTTATATACTGTGCACAAATACAATACAACATGTGCCTAAATGTCATAGTTAAATTCAAATTTTAAGACACAAAAGCTAGCTTCTATGTTAATTCTAAGATTTTTTATTGATTAAAAAATAAGATTAAAGAAAAAAATTTAAAAAGATTATTTTAGCATTAATTTTAAGTAATTTTTATTAATATTAAAATTTTAAAATCCTTTCAAAATAAGAGTTGTTTTTAATGATTTTGGATTTTGAGAAACATAAACAAGAATATATATTTTTAAAGAATTTATATATATTATAGTAGATGCATAAGTGGATTTTTGAGATTTTATAAATGTACTTGTTCTTATTGAGTTATAAAAAATTTAGATGAATTAAAAAATTAGATTAAAGGATATTAGAATTTGATTAGATTAAAATCTTAAATATTTGATTTTTAGGATAAGTGAGATTTTTTATACTTGTTGTTTGCTTAAAGATTGAAATATAAATAAAAAAAATAAAAAAAATAAATAAATAAATTAGTCAACTTCTATAGAAATATGTTTAATTTTTTTGAGATTTCTTTAAGATTTATTTAGGATTTAGTTAGAGTTTTTTTAGTATTTATTAGGATTTTTTAGGATTTAATTAAGAATTTCTTTAGAATTTCTTATATTTTTTTTTAAAAAAAATATTTGGATTATATTAGATTTTGATTAGAATATATTTAAGATTTATTTAGAATTTATTTTTTATTATTTATTTAAAGTTTTTAATTTTAATAATACTTGAATATTTTATTATTAATTTATTAATTTATTTTATAATTTCTTTATAATATCTTTATGGTTCTTATTAGATTTTTTTAAAGATTTCTTCAGAATTGATTAAGATTTATCTAAGATTGATAAGGTTTAATTCGACTGTATTTAGGATTATATTAGACGTGTTTGAATCTTTGTTATTACAACTTCTAGTTTAATTTCTATTGTTAATTACCAAATGTATTTTGAAGTAAGATAACATATTATACAAGAGCAAAGTTTTTCAAATTAGATGTCAAATGATGATTACATTAGGATTAAATATTGTCACGCCATAGGTTTCATCAACACCTCCTACAAACACACAAGCAAAATGCCTTAGAGTAGGACAAATCATATCATTTACAAATACATGATTCAATCTTTGTCAATATTCTACATATTGCAGATTCTAAAGGAATTTGGCTATGTTTACAATAACTATATGATATTAAGAACAACTCATAATATATATTTTTTAAAAAATATCTTTTCATTATGACTAATAAAAATAAAGTCTATTAAAACTTATCTTTGGGATATTTATAACTTACTAAATTAGCTAACAAGTTTTGTCATAGTTGTAACTAATAAAGATTTAGTCAATCTCATCTTTTCAAGTCTTCAAAAGTCTTGATTAACCTTCAAATAAATTCAAAATGGAAGAGAATATCAATTAAATTTTTCTTAACTTAAAGATTTACTACGATAAGAAGAAACAACGAAGGTTATTGAAAAAGGTTGAAAGAAGGCAAAAGAAGCCTTGTACATTAGATCTTATAATTGTAGAACAAGCTTAAAAAGAAAATACACCTATCGTAATAGAAGTTTTGGTAGAAAAAGTTCCAAGGGACGTTTACCAAACAAAGTAGATCATACCACTTTCAAGCTTATGTGTGAAAAATTCAATGCCACAAATGTTACAAAATTGGCTAAAATATTTAAAATTATGAGATAGTTAAAATGAAAGATAAAATCAAAGATATGGAGATCCAATTAATTAAATTAAAAGATAGGCAAGGACACATTAACTCCACCAATATTAACGATGATGTAGAAAGAAATAAAGATAAAGTCTTAAATGCTTGTATGCATGCTTTTGACTATGAAGAAGAATGGTTCTTAGATTTTGGAGCAAGCTTCTATGTGCTAAGCAACAAAACTTTATTAGAAGATATACTAGATAAAAAAGTATTTAGTATTAAATCATGCTAAAAAAGATAAAGGTATTATAACCATGTCAAATTCTACTAGAAAGAATAAACAAATTACCAATATTCTCTATGTTGTGGGAGTTAAAATCAAGCTCTTTATAGTTAATAAGCTTATAGATTTAGATTATTTAATTATTACTTGGACTTTTTGGATTACCAAAAAGAATAAGATAAGATCTTAAATGACTAGACTTCGCATAAATGATAATTGAAAAAAAAGACAAATACCAATTTATTATTTAGTTGAACTACATGATTTCTAGAGCAATAGTAGCTAACTCATGATGCTACTATTTGAGACCTACTTTTGTATAGTAATATGGCCATTAGGTGAAAGAAAAGAAAAAAATATTTTATGATAGAGTAACTTAAAAATATAGATAATAGACAAGAAAGAAATAAAAATTAATAATTTCTAATATTACCTTCTTATAGAAGAGACTTATATTCACTTTATAAGAGCATTAATGAGCCAAATCAAAATAAATGAGATATATAATTAATATAAGCATCTTTAAGAGGAAGTTAAGAATAGGTTTTAAAAAAATTACCTCAAAATACTAAGAATTGATACTTAGAGAGGATTGGTTGTGAACCAAGATCAAAATCAGACCTCAAGGCACAAAATTATGTACCTAAAATGACTTTAAAGTTCTTTAGTTGATCAAAGAGCAAGATTTGAGAGAAAACTATGAAAAGCTTTTTAGAAGTTTATTTCATGTGATTTGAGAGTATATTAAGGATTTGAGAGCTTTTCAAAGAAAGAAGTATATTTGATGGATTTGGATTACTCAAAGATCAGCATTTAAGTTGGACAAGAAAAGTGGCCAACATCCAAGAGATTTTGAGTCGTGATGTTCAATATGACACCAATAGATTCAAGTAAGGGATACAATAAACCAACCTTGCTAAGAGAATTTCTTAGTTTATGGTGTCTCTTCAACAATTTAATTTAAAATTAAACATTCAAAAGGATAAAGAGTAGCATATGCAAAGTTGTTCCTATAGCTAAGTGTACCTCTAAGTGTGCAAGAAGATATCTTTACCAACAAGGTAAATTATTATATGATTATAAGACTCAAAGATAAACTAAATTTTGGCTATATAAGCATCATCAAGTATTTAATAGATTTTAAATTTTCAAATGTAAAAAAAAATACTCTCTGTAAAAAATATATTCCATTCACATTGATCAATGATATGCAATAATAAAAAAGAAAAGACATGATTTTAAGAAAAATTATGAACTGACAAAAAATTATTAAGATCTTGACAAAATATCATAAAAGACATTGCAGAGGTTACTTTGCTACTAAATCAATTGCTCAAAATATTTTGATAGCACAATACTTTTAACTTAGTCTTTTAAAAGACTATGGATAATATTGTATGAGTTGCATGACTTGAATACATATACCAAGTGATCCTTGTTTCATACCAAACTTCATCTTTTTCTTTTAACTATAGCTTTCAAAAAAAAAAAAGAATTGATTTTATAAGGTGAATGCTCAAAATTACAAGATTAGATGAATACTTAATAGTTGAAATTGATTACTTAACAAAATAGGCCAAAGTTGTAGTAGTGAAAAATACATATAAGAAGTATTTTTAAAAAAAAATTATAATCAAGTTATTTGCAAATATAGTTGTTTCTTAGAGGTAGTAACAAATCAAGGATTACACTTTGTCAACGAGATAGTAAGCAACCTACTTAAAAAACTCTTAATTAAACATTTTTAGTACCTTGAATGATATCAGCAATCTTTAGCAAATGTTGCAATAGGAAAAGATAATGATATAATAAAAAGATAGGATAAAAATATAACTAGCTATAGTATCATTGTGACTTTAGAATAGAAGTGGTAATTAAAAAACTTTTTAGGTATTATAAGAATGAGAGAAGGAATATATCTTTCTTTCTTACTCTTTGAAAATTTGATATTTGGTAGTAAATAAATAGTCTAAGTTCATTTGTCATGTTTTTGGAAGATTTGACTAGACAAAACGATACATCATTTTGTACACAAATGAATAAAAGAGAAAGCATTGGTTCATTGACTCTAAAGTACTTGTAAACTTAATAATATTACAAAAGAATTATTGTACCAAATGAAATGTTTACATCTTGGATGCATCTTGATATTTCAATTATTATTCTACAATAGCCACTGAACAAGAGAAACATGAGCTAACAAACATCAATAAGCTTCACCATATAAAGCTTCACCAAATAGCCTTGTAAAAAAGACCAATAGAATACTTGTTATAATCTTGTCTAAAATAATCCTAAAAAATGACAAACATGGGACAAATATATAGACAAAGTTCTTTAAGCTTATAGAATAATGTATGAGATAACAAAGGAATTTATGCCATTCTACATGACCTATGGTTTAAAAGCTATTATTCCTATCAAATTAGAAATCCCTTCTTTGCAGCTAACTTTACAACATGGACTAAGAGATGAACAGTTGATGAACAAACAATTAATGATCATTGAAGAACTCAACAAAAATTGAAGATCAATATTATGGAACAACTAGGTCATTCAAGGATGACGCAAGGGCATCCATGACAACAAAAGAAAAATGAACAATTTTAAAACATGTATCTTAGTCATGCTTGTCAATAGTTGGTCACAGAAACAGCATGGGCAGAAATTCAAAGCTAAATAGAAAGAAACTTACGTTCCCTTCCAAAAATTTGATAACGCATCTTATAGTTTGAGTGAACCAGACTGAACTCTCTTGACAAAAGTATACAACTGGTCGAAACTCAAAGCAAATTACCACTCCAACATCTATCAACACCTATCAACATCAGTTCAATTCACTTTCCTGATCTTGGGGATGAGATGTTTTTACCCAAATATTTTGCCAATGTTTTGCTATGTCCTGGTTCGAGGCGACTCTCCATTCGTTCTTCACCTCTTTTCTAATTCTCCCTTTTTTTTCCTTTTTACCTTACCTCTCATTCTCCTTTAGCATTCACTCAGTCCACGACTACATCTTCGTCCTCCTCACAACCATTTCTGCCGCAGCTTCGACCTCATATGCCCTTCATCAGCAACGAAGAGATTCATCCAACGCCACCTTGTAGACTCCTCCAATCCATTAGTGATCCTTATTTTGATAGGAACTCCTGCTTGTCCCGCTTGTTAGCTTGACATCAATTTCAACAACGACTGGACTATGTGCGCGTCAAGAACAACTCCAACTACTGCATGAACCCCTCCGAAACAAATTTTCTCCTCTTCTTGGCATTGCCTTCCTGGCAGGAACTCCTTCGTTAGTTCTCTTCTTGCTTTAGATAAAAGGCTGAAAGATTATCACAACAGGCCATCAGACTTTGAAGAGGAAGTTGTTATTCTTATTGACTTGATCCGATATGAATAAAGGTTTTTTGTTTGCTTATAAGTATGTGAGAATGGAAAGCGTGTATGATACATGATTGTTATCAAGGGCATGAGAGCAAAGAACTATTCAAAGTGAACTGGTCGAGACGAGGTGCACAGGAGGTCTAGAAGATGACCGACGTAGAAGATGTTAAAAGTTATCTAAACGTTTTTTTGGAAGTAATGAGATTAGTTTTTTTCTGCGCGTGATTGAACTTCTTTTTGAGACAAAGAGAGAGCCAAAGTTCAATCGTTGAGTGGGTTATTATGAAAAAGTATACTCATTCGGTTTGCCAAAATAAGTTGTTTCAAAGGAACGTTCTTTTCAATGAACAAACAGAGACCTTTTTGGTCAAATTTCGTGAGAAACAAGAACATCCAATAGAAAATGTGAGAAACAAATAATAGAAATTGAGGATTAAAATAGAATTTCTAGCACCCATAAGGGTATCCATACGAGTATCATATAAAACCGGGTATCAACATATACATAAATTTGACTTAGTTTACCTATGTAAGTATCTAACCAAAATACTTTAGGTAATTGAAGAAATATACCATTTCTTGATAATCGAACTAATTAATTGTTACAAAAACATATCCCTTTGATTTTATTTTAGGCCGCTATTTATTGATATAAGCCAAGTGGTAAAAAAATCTAAAAAACCAAATACCTTTTCTTTATCTCAACCTTGGTTTCAACTTGTATTTTTATAACCTTATAAAATTGATCTAATTAAACATTGCTCATTTTAAAAACATCCTAAAAACTTGAATAAATTTTTTCAAACATATCTTCATCATCTAAACATATATATCTTATACTCTATGTTTTCATATAAATGCAAAATCTGCCACAAATCAGAAACGGGAAACATCAAGGGCACCTTTCAAGTTAAATTGGTTAGAAACACCAAATGTAGATTGTAAGTAAATAAACTAAAACTAATAAGAGAAGAGAACTATATACGTACCACATTAGGACTTTGCATTGTCTCAGCTGTACACTCCAAACCGATCATTTGGAACCACAACAAGTGAGTTTTACCTGCCAATCAGCCACGAAAAGCAAGCCCTCCAACTTACCCGCCCCGCTGGTTCCCCTACGCTCCCTCCCTCCAATCCTAGACTTGGATCAGCGGCTAAGATTGAATCTGAAGGCCAACGCAATCTGACGGTCCAAAATGGCGGAGCCAGTTGTTTGGGTTGGGAAGCCTCGAGGCCACCGTCCTACGAGGTGCCAGACCTGTTGTTTTCGAAAGGCAGAAAAAAAACACTGGGTTTCACACAATGCATGGGCTCTAGAAGATGAGAATAAAGCGAGAATTAGGGTTCCGGACCTGGATGGGAGGGGCGTCTATGTCTGCTCGGAATGCGACGACCGAGCCATCAGCCCCGATGACGGCCACAACGCCGCAACGCGAATCGTCACTTAATCGTCCTAACTCCCAGATATTGAAGATCTAAAACCCCTGTCGATTCTTCCTGTACAATACGGAGTCAACTTGAGTGTCTCTGTTTTTATTTTGCACTCCACAATTTGTCTCCTACACCTCAAACTTGGTTCCAATTCTGAATTGCTCCCTGGAAAGCCTCACTTTTTCCATGCCGTGTATACATTACTAATTGCAAAAATGTATATTATCAGGTCTGGCACACTCTATGCTTGGAAGGAGGTAGAATAGCTACTTCACACCAACTAAATGTAACACCATGGTGATACCGATATGATATCCGAAGCTGTCAACCAATTCAATTGGTGGCGGCATACTCCCAGCATGAAATGGTTGATTTTTCCGGCTAATGATTTCAACTGAAATAATTTACGTTTGTATGTGTAGCAGCCTGAGGTCAAGAGTACGTAACAATCACCTTGAAGGTTTAATCCAGTGCGTCACAAGCTGTGCCCTATATCGCAATTTGGGTAACGGACTTCTGTGTCCATCTCACAAAATTCTACTTCGCAACCCAAGATTCAACTGTCCCAAAAACCACAAATCTACCGAGGACTCAGTGACCCTAATTGCATGATTGTTCCCTAACTCTCCCATCGGCAGAAAAAATCTCTGATAAAATTTCAGTCCGCCATAGCATACAGGCTATATCCCTCACAGCAAAATGTAATAGATGAGATACAAGATGACGAATTGGTTAAGAGCTCAAGTCGGTCCCCATTCGGCTCCACGAACAGAAGTATCGAAACCAGTTGCCACGACGCACGATATTTTTGGCTGGCTAATTGAAACCTTCGGATTGATGATGTAACGCCTCAGATTGTGCCACGTAACTGCGTGAGTGTCACTTAACCCCTCAAGATCGCAAACAAGTAGGTTTACTTCGAATGCGGGTCATTACATTGGATCCAGTTTCCTTTGTGCTTCACTCGATCGCTCAATTGGCTGGCATTCTGCTATCGATTTTGGTTTCCAAGATGGCTTCACGGACTGGTGCCGTATGGGTTTCTTTCGCAGTGGCGGGTATGATTCTGATGCAACTGGGGTCACCCGTGGAAGCCAGAACTGATTCCTTGGCTTTCGTGAAGAAGACCTTGGCTGAGCATCCTTTGGTCATCTTTTCTAAGTCTTATTGCCCGTAAGTTGGTAACCCATGTCTTGCATCTGAGCATCCCTCGAGGGAGTAGTCCTCTTAGCAACGATCTTTTGCTGCTACGGAGTATTATCGTTCTTGTTTCGGTCTTCTCCCTCTCTGTTAGCTTCTGATTTATTTTTCTCATTTGTTTGTTTTCCCAGTATCGGTGATGTGAACCTTAAGCCCATGTTTGAACTTGGGAGTTCTGTTAGGGTGTTCGTATTTTTGAACTCTAGTCTCGATGGAGATTTTGGTGAAATTAAAATCTTCCTTAACGAGACTGAGTGGTGGGTTTTTCCTGTTTTCGGTATCTCTGCTTAGCTTGTGTCTCTTGACGCAGCCATTGCGATGCGTACATTGTTATTGCAGTGCTGGTGTGGTGCCACTTTGAGAGTGTTGTCTGTTGCTGCTAACTATCTGGCTTATTTTACTCGTTTGTTCGAAGTTTGGTTTACACTTCTGCCTGATTGTTAAATTTTTTTGTGCTTAGGGGTGTTTACTATCAATTCACGATTCTGAGGATGCTCATTTTTTACTGTTGGAAGTGCTTCCCGGGGTAATGTGTAGATACTGTAAGCGTGCGAAGTCGGTGTTTGAGAGCATGAGCGTGAAGCCGTTTGTGCTTGAGCTTGACGAGCGAGGTATGAGTTGCAACTTGTCACCTGTCCCTTGCATTGGTGTTTTCCTGGACTTTGCTCAGTCACTAAAAATTTGCATATACATTTGAATTCTAGTATGTACTACATTGGATATCTATTGTGAGAAGTGCGTGCTTAGAGTATGTGTGTTCTCGTAGATTTGGTATTGGGACGGCAGACTTAGCAAGTAACAATTATCATTTTGATATTTGAGTTGAGCATAGGAGAGATTCGTCAAGTTTTGGGGAGCTCATTACACGTCAGCATTTGATATGGAGCTATGAAGAGACTAGTCCTTGGGTCAATAGCTTATAACTCTAAACTACTCTTGATAATTTTATACTTACGTGCCAGTGTTATTCATACATTTCGTTTCCTACTTGAATGCAGAGGATGGAGATGACATTCAGCAGGCACTAGGGAAATTCGTTGGTCGTAGAACGGTACCCCAAGTATTCATCAATGGGGTGCACCTTGGAGGATCTGATGGTAATAAACCCCTTCACGTTTTCTTATTTTTGGTTTGCATCTAAACCTATCCGGAACTGTATGAACACTCTTGTGCAGTTTTCTTTTGTTTTCGTGTCGCGATGTTTGAACACGGAGGCATATTATCAACATGCAGATTGTATTCCGTTCGTTATACAGTCTTCTCAAAGCTTACTTATTTGAATATGGAATGCCAGTAATATGTTGTGACTCCTTCGTTTACCATAATTATTGGTGAACTGAGCAATCCGGGATACCTGTTGTCAGTTGTGTTGATTTCATATTCTTTTATGAGTGCAGACACTGTTGCTGCTCAGCAAAGTGGCCGCCTAAAGAAGCTGCTGGCTGGTTCTGCCTCTGCCGTTAATGCAGAAAATCTGAAGTCTGAACTATGAACCGGCCGGGGTGCTGCAGTCCAACTTTCTGATAAGGAACCTACTGCAAAGAAGGAGATTACGGAGAAACCCCCCGTGAAGAAAGCCTCTGACGAGCAGCAGAAAGTTGGATTCAGCTACTCAAGAATATGGCCACCAGTAGTAGGTGCAGCTATTCTGATGACCATGTTCCTTGCTTGGGTAGCTGCCAAACCTCTAGTCGTGCACCGTTTGAAGCTCCGCACGACTAAGCGCCCCGGCCGTCCCCCTCTCAAATCTCATATCAAGAGAAACATGTCAACTCCTAATGTTGATACTATTCAGAAGGTTTAGTTTTCATGAGAATCAGTGACGCGCTCTACATTACCAGGAGACTTGCTCACTTGGTATGAGTGATCTTTCACGGCAGTATTCTTGATCAGTGAAATGTTATTATGGGACATCCTTGAGAATAACTTGATGTACACGTTGGATGTTTTTCAAATTGTTCTCATATGTTTTGAGTCTAATGCTTGTTTCTACGTAACACTCGTCTGGATATTGTGTACTGCCTATCGTACAAATTTGCCTGTACTGGCTTCGGCACTGTGCTGATTATATCTGGGTTTGAAAAATACTTGCTTGTTTTGAGTTTCAGTGGAAAAGAGTGAGGAAATGTAATTAATTGGGATTGCGGCAGCGTACTAGGGATACTGGATTTATTGAATCTATTAAATGTCGATTGTCGCATCCAGTTATGACTTACTTGGATCCACAAACTTCCATTCTTGCTTATTACTATATCGATCTATGCTACAATATCGTGGACCTGGTAGAATGCTACAAACCAAAAGTGTGCCACTTCTTTCGCCACGAAGTTGGAATCTGAGGTTGTGCAATGATGTGTGCATTGCAGTTCAACGGAGTTCTATATTCATTTCGGCCAGGTCCATGGAGTTTTTTTTACCTAAAACTTGGAGCTTACCATTCACATTTGTGGCTGCTACAATTTTTATGCACAGCTTGGTGCATTCTGTTATCTCAGTGCAGAATCCAAAGATCCTTCGTCGTTTCTTTGTTTGATTTTATGTTGATACGTCAGTGTAATGTCGAGGATAAGTAGAGAATCTATTTGCAGGTGAAGAAAACAGTCGTGAACCCCCGTTGACAGTATGTATCAAATTGCAGGAACTGGCAATTACCCGTAAGACCAACAGTTTTTGTCGTTTGCTGTAAGACGCCACTTGTATTTATGATACTGCAAGGATCAACGATTGAGTGCGAGAACGATTAGTTGAGCAAGGGAGGAGACACTTTTGTGTGCTGTAAGAACCATGTAAAATAATAGAAAAAAAACATTTGCTTTGGAAATCTATGTTAAGCCTTAACTATTCTCTAAGGTGATAATAGTAGTGTCATGAAAGAAAAAAAAGACTATCTCTGGATTTGCAATTGAAAACAAAAGACTATTTCATAAAGTCGCTATATTTTATGTGTGCGAAACACTGATGCCAGTCAGTTCACCACTGCAATGCTGACATCATCTGCTAATACAATTTTGAACTTCCATATTTCTGTGATTCATTCAGTGCTCTTTGTACTGCAGAATGTCTTCCACGAAACCCTGAATGTTGAAATCTCATAATCAGATTTATACGCAAGCTTCTGAGGGACAGTATCGGGCATCACTCATGAAATTGAGATACGCAGGTCACAATCTACCCAATAAATTTATCGACTAAATTTGTTACATCAAAGGAACTGATTGTAACCAAGGTCTAGAGAATGAAATGCCTTGCCTTGTAAATGAGAACGAACATACGATTTTGGGTACTAAGTAAATATTCTAGTACCTTACTGTGGAAAATTGCGTGGTACAAGAGGCAAACAATTGCCCAATTGCATGTAATGCAGACAAAAAAATAAAGAAGAGAAAATGACATTATTTCATCCCTTAAAAAACCTTCGCCATGAGTACCACGGCAAGAATCCTCCTGTAATTGTACAATCAAAACGGGTGAATCAACAAATTTGATATCTCAAATCTAACAACTAATATTGAATAAGAGGACCAGAATTCTTCTCTCAGAACTGAACAATGAGAACAACACGATTTGATAGGTAACGTGCTACAGACAATGCCGGTTATGACATGGGTATTCTATTTTGACAATTAGTCAGTGCTTCGGAGTGGGACAGGGAAGACTCACCACAATTACCACATCGAAAATAGCTCCCACCCTTCTTCACTAGACCTGATCCATTGCATGTTGAACATCGCTGTTGAGCGGCCTGCATTTTCAAGTACCAAAAAAAAAGATTAAAATGTCATTCCTCAAGTTACAGCAAGATCAGAGTTCTTCGAGCTCACTAGTGCATCGCAGTGCCATATGGCATCAGCTTCTTTTTATGGCATCGCAATATAAATATGGAAAATTCTATGGTAGCACGTCAATATACTCATAAAATAGGCCATCAGCTTCTTTTTATGGCATCGCAATGTAAATATGGAAAATTCTATGGTAGCACGTCAATATACTCATAAAATAGGCCATCAGCTTCTTTTTATGATTTAGCTATTCTAAGAAACTTACAATGCGCTTGCTGAATTCGATTCCAGCTACCACGAAGGGCGTCACTCCAGCTGAGTTAATCACACACAACCAATTCAAGTCATAATCACTCGCTTACTCGTGTGCAACAATGGACAAGCTTGCCCTACATCAATAATTGACAAAGATCATCCATTCCAATTGCGTTTGCCCATCTTCCCTTCTCCAGATGTGCAGAGCGAAGGCAAAAATGACTGCCCTAAATTTAAGTCCACGTCATTCACTCCCCAAAATACAGAACCACAAGCTCTACATGGTCACGATAATTCGCCGAGAATTTAATTCCAACTCATTCCGAAATGTTCAGCGTGGAAATTTCTCATCCCAGTAAATTCAGTGCGTACTATGTAATATACATATACCCAATTTCAAATTTCTACGACCTAGAACACGCATGGTCCCAAATATCATAAAAAAACCAAATGGACCGCAATTCAAACTGAGAAATGTGCACAACTCACCAATAGCTCCCGCCCAAATCTGCCAGGTAAGATCGGGCGTAGATTGAACAACTTGCGAAGCTTCTGCAATGTCAGAGAGAGCCCGTGCTCTCACTGCTACTCGAATCCGTCTCGCCCTACCCAATTGCCGCTGATGCGCAGACCGACGGAGCAGCAATTGCGGACGCTGGGAGTGCAAGCAGCTGCCAGCTCCAACTCCAACCAGGGCCATGTCCATGACTCCAAACCTTCCGACCCTTCCAACAACGACCAGCGTTTCCACCACCGCTCTGCAGCTCGCGCTCGGATGGTCGAGAAGCTCACGTAAGACCTCACACTCACTTCACGCTTGCTGGACCTTCACAGAGATGTGCCATGCATCTAAACCGTTGAAGAGGAGGGCAATGTGGACCCAAGGACACCGTTGAGAGAATGTGGCGGCTAACAAGCCGTGGATGGGACTAGTCCATCGTGGAAAGTTGTCCACTCCAGGCCTCTTGTCTCGTGCCCTCACGAACAGCTCCTGCCATTGAAGCGCAAAACTGCAACGAAATGGCTTCACACAGCAGCTTCATTTCTCGGAGACGACAGGGGACGAGTCGACAGAGTAAAAGGTTGCTTCAATCACTGAGGCTCGAAAGTAAAAGATTTCCCCTCAGCCGACGGCTCGAAAGGTGATTGTGGCATTTCTCCCCACCCCAACTCCACATTCTGGCTCCCTTCTTCTGGAGCTGGCATCGAAACTCATCACTCCTTTAGGATATATATAATAATAATAAGAATGGTTAAACCATTGGCTATGCCAAGGTCAAAAATAGTACATTCTTGGGAGCCAATCAGAAAGATAAAAATAAACACAATATACCAATCAATGCCCCTTATTACGATTATATATATATATATATATATATCAGCGCCACGTCAGCTAGGTGTAGGTCAGGTTTGCAGTTGCTGCCGCCATCGACCCGTCCCATCCTGTGGCTGCCACCAGCCTATCCCATCCTCTGATCTTGGATAACTTGGTAGTAATTGGGTTTTACCACCCAACTACTCCAGCCTCAAGCCAATGGGATTTTTTTCAACTCGAGCCAAACGTAGGGTTGGTCGATTTTTTTATATAGATAGATATATATGTATATATATACATATAAACAAATAGATTAGAAATTTGTCTAGATGAGTATACCAAAACAATAAAAAAAATAATAGTAAAGTGAGTTTTATATATATAGAAATTCTTAAAAAATTAAAACTATGTTGGCATATTAGCTTCAAGTTCTGAGATGCACTATACCAATTCTATCACAAACCAAATCAACAACATGTGGCTATCCAAATAAGACTTATTTCAATACAAGGATTTATAATATCTCTCTCAATTTTTTTGAAATTATACAAGATTTTTTGTTAGTTTGTTTTCATATCCAACAAAGTTTAAATTTATTCTACTATGATGTTTATTATCATATTGAAAAAAGTTGTATTTTTTTGGTGTATATCTATATTATTTTGAAGTGCTTTAAGTTACATACTAGATTCTTGCATATTTGTGCTTGGTAATATGACTAGATTTATATTGTATTTTTTTTCCTACTCTCTTGTGCAATTAATACCAAAGATTGTACATGTGGTCTTCTACCAATATTCACAAAACTCTTGTATATTTTGCTAACTTTTTATTTATTTCAAAAGCAATACCATTATATCAAAAATTCTACCATTATGGTAAAAAAAAAATACAAAACAAAACAAAACAAAAAAAACAAACAAAGACAAACAAAGATTGACCCACATATTAACATATTTTTCTATTTTTCTAAATCTAATTTTATTGTTATATTGTTCTATTGTTCTATTGTTATATTTCAAAAGCAATACCATTATATCGAAAATTCTACCATTATGGTAAAAAAAAAATACAAAACAAAACAAAACAAAAAAAACAAACAAAGACAAACAAAGATTGACCCACATATTAACATATTTTTCTATTTTTCTAAATCTAATTTTATTGTTATATTGTTCTATTGTTCTATTGTTATATTTCAAAAGCAATACCATTATATCGAAAATTCTACCATTATGGTAAAAAAAAAATACAAAACAAAACAAAACAAAAAAAACAAACAAAGACAAACAAAGATTGACCCACATATTAACATATTTTTCTATTTTTCTAAATCTAATTTTATTGTTATATTGTTCTATTGTTCTATTGTTATATTTCACTTTTTTCACTTCAATTCTTTAAAATATTTTCACTTTAATATTTGCATAAGATAAATTTTATGTTTTTCTCATTCCTTTTCTATTATATTCATATCTTTGCTACTTAAGACATTTTTTTTCTTTTTAAATATATCTAAAAAATAAATCTATCTTACACAAAATTCTAATATCTTTCAAACTATAACCAAATCTTATAATTAAGTTTAGATTTGTAACATTGTATACTTGGCATCATTAAATATACCAAGCCTCTATTGCTTATCCTACTTATTTTTACTTTATTTGGATTATCTCTAAGTCCTTTTCAATTTGATGCATAAAAAATATAATACAACTTACATATTTACTTCTCAAGAATTATTGAATCTAAAGCGCTATAGTAAAAAAAAACTTATAAGTTGCAATAATTCCAACTTTATTTATAATAAAATTTTGATTCAATGACTTTTATAATAGAATTGTATACAATAAAATCTTTTTTAGATAATTATTCTTATTGCTTCCACTTTAAGTTTAAGTAGTTACATCCATATGTATTGCTTTAGCTTTGCTTAAATGTATATATTCTCTATAATAGTGTTTTTAATAAGAAAGTGAAGTTTTAATCTTTACTTCTATAATATTAAAAAATTATAAATAGTTTTTTATAACTTTTTTTTTTTTTTTTTTTTTTTTTTTGCTTATAATTTATATTTTTATTATATATATCTATATATACATACATTTTTTTTTTTTTTTTTATACTAAAAAAATTATTACCAATCTATTACTATTCAAAACACTAAAAAGAATTTTATTCAAAGCACATGTAGCTTGTTAGTCACTAAAATATCTTGATTATCTTTTCAAATGATCTCCTTGGAAATTTACATCACAAATTTATTTTAAACTTGACTTGATTGATTAATATATATATATATATATATATATGTGTGTGTGTATATTTGCTAAATGTATTTTATCTATCATTACTTTTAGAAGCACATATAATCACATAAAATAAAAATGGGGAGGTAATTAATGCATTCATACTTACATCAAAAAAATAAAAAATATGTAAAAGAAAGAAAGAATACAGATATGTATATATATATATATATATATATATTTCATGATCTATATAATGTGTGTATTAAAAGAAAGTTTTATTATGTCATATTTCTAATTAGCTTTAAGATATCGAATTTTGAACCTAATCAGTAATTTATTTCTTTATTTGAACCTTCTAAAATTGAAAATTTAGTATGATTTCTGAGTACAATAGAAATAAAATTACGCAAATGTATAATTGTTAATACTTGAAGATTAAAGATTTTAAAAATATCAAATAATTGAAGTGAAACTTAGATGTGATTTTTTTGGCACAAGTCAATGATGATGATGGGTAATTTGTAGTATACATATAATAAATTTGCTTTATTTATCAAGGTTCATTTATTTAATTGAGCCAGAAGGGTTTGGTCGGCTGCTTATCATCTAAATAATTTTCATAAAATACAATGCTTGCATATTATCATCCAACCATATATTGTGAACCATTTAATGAAAAAGATGATTTATTATAACTTTTTATACAATAAAAATTACACAAGTAACTAATCTATTACTATTCAAAACACAAACTTATGACACTAACTTAATTTAAATACCACTAGTTATTTTTACTAATTTAACTTTTGGTTAAAATATCTACACGCCTGTTTTAAGTTTCTCAACTAGTATAGAACGTAAGCCAGTCAGTTTTCTCATTAATTATGTATTAACAGGCTGACTGGCAAGAAAGAAAAAGTGCAGTAAGCACATAGAAAACGTGAGACAAGCCTAAACTAGAAGTTATGGTAACGTGAGACAAGTAACCTGGACACTGGTATCTACTTCCGAGTTCGGGTTTGCATTGGTGCAGGGTCTTTCACCCGCGAATTGAAAAAGTGTAGAAATTTATCAACTCCATGGATCTTAGCAGAGGGGGAGATCGTAAATATGTTTATATGGGGGTATCTAGCTGTAATCGATGTGGGATAAATGGCGCCGTGTTGCGGTGTTTTCCAAGGCGCTGCAAACTCGAACACTTGATGGTCAACACGAGGTCGATGGAAACCGTCTCTCCGGAATGAATCTTAGCTCGGCCGCGCTACTGGGACTTGGTCGGCTCAGGATTCGAAATTCTCACGCTACTTTTTCTTTTCTCAGATTCGTTCGAAATTTCGCGTGTGGGAGTGGCTTTGCGCGGAGTATTCTGTTGTTATCACTTTGATGTCGTGATTTTAGGGGTTATCGTTTTGTGGTGAGGCGGTTCAGAGGAACATGTTAAGTTGAAATGCTGGTGCATTGGGATCTCTTGGTTAAGTGTGTGACAGCCACGGTTGGGAATCGAAATTATGGTTGGGAGCGTGTCTTGGTCAGCTGACATTGCCGTTAGGTTACCTCCATGACAGAGATTCGCTACATTCAACTATTGTCCAGAGGATTAGACCAGGTATGACATCCTGGATCTGATAGAGAAGCCATTGAGAAGAGAGAAGCAAACCTATGAGAAGTCCAGGATTCAGTTATGCAAGAAGTTCAGTCGATAGATACATGAAGGATGATATGATTCGCAGGAAGAGAATTCGAGGGAGGCGGAGGTAGATGGAGCTGATGAATGAACGGTGGTGCATTCATGCTCTGGGAAGGAAGTTACATGCTGCGCGCGGGAGGTGAAAACCAGAACCCGGCAGAACACCGGCCGATCTCCAGAGTTCATCCTCCACCATGCCATGCCTGAATGAAGCGCCCCCTAACTTCTCCCTCTGTACCCCTCATCGGCACTCACTTCCACACCCTCTCTTTCGCCAGAGATTTGCTCAGCATTTGCAGGCTACTTAGGAATCCTCGTGCACCTGAGATCGTGAGCCAACTATCTTGCCCCTGAAAAGAACACAAAATAAAGAAGGAGAAGGTCATCAAGCCTGACCATCGTTGAACTCGTCGTGCCACAATGTTGACAGGACAGCTTCCAAGTTTTTGTTAGTTGTTAGAACCCGTGATCCAGATTATAGTCTTAGTCACGTACTTTAAGAGAATTTCAAGTGGCATGGGTTGGTTATTTGTGATGGAATCTAAGTTTCGAATGGGAGCTCCACAAATCTCCACTTACAAGTCGGAGCTAGGTTTAAATTGAGTCTGCTAGAGCGACATTCGCGTCTTCGAGACATTCCTGCAGGCAGTCGGATACTCTATTATAACTTTTTTAAGGCATGCCTAATTTTCTCGCTCTCATATGACGCAAAGATTATTATTATTATAAATATTCTTAATATTATTCTGGTTTTTTAGGTTTTTTATGGCGATTGGATGTATATGGACATTCTACCTTTCAACTGAGCTTGTTCAATCCTTGATCATGATTGAGGAATGGTACTGTTCAGATCTTACATAGGTTGCTCATTGCAAGAGATATTGCTTCGTCACAGAGACCACGGTCTCAATGGCGAACCGTCAGTTGGCAACAGTTTCATTGATCCTTGGAATTGTGTTCGCCAATCTCGATTGTACGCTTGGTAAGTACTGAACTTCAAACTCAGTTCATGATTCTAAACATCCTGTATTCTCTATTCGCGTCTGGAAAATGATATTACCGTTTGAATGCATCGACTTCCTGGCGTTCTCATCTCAATGACCCAGTGCCATGTGATTCACGAGATCTGCAGGAAACTTGGAGTGTGAAGACCTGCCAATTGAATATTGCGCGTTTTCAGTCGCCTCATCAGGAACACGCTGTGTGTTGGAGAAGTACAGAGGGAAAGATGGCATCATACTGTATGAATGCCAGGTACAGCCTTCAAACAACCGCGGCAATTGTCATTTTACACGAAATTTTTGCAATATAAAAAGAAGTTGCTCAGTTTACTCTAAAAAATGTACTATTTCTCAGTCTAATCGGTAAGTGGCACTCTAACATGTCTGCAGTCATCTATGACTATGGCCGAGAGAGAAGAGGAGTGGATTGAGTCTGACGAGTGCATTATATCATGTGGAATGGAGCGCATATCCGTTGGCCTTTCCACGGATCTTCTCATGGATTCTCACTTCACAAAAATGCTCTGCTCTTCTGAGTGCCTGAACAACTGCCCCAACTTAATTGATCTCTACACCAGCCTTGCTGCTGGTGAAGGTACGTATTCCTGCAGCTGTGAACACCCCCAAACTCAACATCGGTCACAAAAGCTCCAATTTCAGTACCATACTTAAAGGACGACACTGGCATAAGCAAGACAGAATCTTGTCCGCGCTCTGTATGGACAGATGATAGCCATCAAAAGTCTTCTGTGATTTCAAATCCAATCAATCACAATTTCTCCACTACAATAAGAAAAAATTAGCTGCCTAGATTTCTCGTTAGGCAATGCTAACGCAACCGAAAAGAATGGGGTTGGGTCGCACACAGGAATGTACTTGCCACAGTTATGCAAAGAACAGACAATAAAGCGCATCATTGCGGATCCGATGAAGAAGGCGACTGATGAGGACTATCCAAGGTTCATCCTCCCGAACCTCCAGAGCGATGGTGCAATGGCTCCTGAGAGAAGCCCAATACGCCAAAGCGGCGCAGGTTTTACCCCAGCCACTGGGTCACGCCTAGGGCCAGATTACCCCGGCTATGGCAGTAGTCCCCGGGGACTTTCTGGAGGTGGGGGCACCGTAGCGCCCACTTCTCCAGGTTTGGGCGTCTATTCTTTACCACCTTTAGATGGTGTAACAATTCCTCCAATTCAGACAGCGCCTGCAGCACATGCACTTGCATCATTAGGCCCATCCATCAGCAGGCGCCCTTTCTTCTTTGCCTCGGCACCCACTCCATCGCCTTCTACACAATCCATTCCAGTGGTAGACACTGCAGTGGGATCCTCGCCAGGGTTTGATCTAGGATTTCCAGAGGCAGCTGCAGTGCCCCCAGTTGTATGAATGATCCCTTTTATTTCTGCACCCGCATTGGCATCCAAACTGACTCACATGTCAGAAGAATTCTTGCAGTAGCCAACAACTTCATCAGGGGGAGTAACTTCACGAGATACACTTTTACCAGATTGAACAATGCAATCAGTCAACTTTCTAACTATCTTTGATACCATCAACTACTTACCCTTGCGTTTGTAAAGTGATTATTCAAGATTATTGCATAATTCAATTGAACGTGAGCTACCAAAGTTGTAGGATGGTTGGGACCACTCCAATTTATGTGTTTTATTTCACTCATAGCATTTTGGAAGTATTTGGGATCCATTGGTGAGAGGAATATACTTCTACAAATCTGAAGTTTGAAAAAGTTAAATGTTAGTTTGTTGAAGTGTATAAGATAGAAGAAACTTGTTGTATTGTCTTTGCTCATGTCACCAAAGCCTTTGTGTTGTAATGGATTGCATTTGTGAATAGGATGTGTTGATAATTTAATTATTTAGTTTGTGCAAGAATTGTTTATTCTATTATTATTGCTTAATATCTATCTATTGTAGCTCAGTTGTATACCTTTTATCAATCATTTTTTGACAAAGTTATGAAAAATATAAAGTTATAAGCTTATTCATATTTAATAAAAAAAGTATTTATATTGGTAAATTAGAAATTTAAGATTTTATCATTATTATTATTATTTTGATATTTCTTTGTATGTATTATAAAAATCAATATTAAAAAAACCATGATAATTTTTACTATTGCTTTAAATTATAAAGATTAAAATAATATTCTTATAATAAAACATTATATTGTGATAGAATTTATTATTGGATAATATTGTCTTAGATATGACTAGGAACATACTTCCAAATTGCTTCAAATATACTCCTTTGGCAACTCAATACAAAAAAACACTACCATCTCATGGCAAAAAAGTGTCCACCTTCTTCCCTTGTTGCCTTCATTTTGCAATAATTCTTCTTGTCACGTCTTCCTTCTAATTTTGCCACATTTTTTGCCACCATTTTTATAAAAAGTTTTCTAGCTATTTTGTAATTTCTATTTGATTTTTGGCAACACAATGTGTCCATATAGTCTTTGTACTAGAGCAATGAGCTGATATCTTAGAAAAGACAATGATACCATTATATTGCATTGTATTATCCACTGTCGTGTAGTAACATGACTATATGGTGAAAGATGATAATATGGATTTTATTATAGAAGAGCCAAGTTAAAAGATAAAGTAGAAAAATATGGATAAAAGATAAGAAGATAATAAAACTTTTAATAATAGTGCTACCATTTTATAAAGGCAACTTCTACTTACTTTGTAGGACCATCAATAAGGCAAAAGAAAGTAGATTGGAAAAATAAATGATATAAGCATCTTAAGAGAGAAATTAAGAGTAAATTCTACCAAAATTTACATAGAAAACTAGATATTGATACCCAGAGAGGGCCAGTTATGAACTAGGGTCGAAATCAGATCCCGAGGCACAAAACCAAACTCTGATGATGATTCTAGAATTCTTTGGCAAATTAAAGAGTGGGATTAGAGAACAAACTTAATAAGGTTTCAATGAGCATTGATTTTGGGTGATTTGGATTTGTATTGACTTTATAAGAGCTTTGCAAAGTCAAGGTTTGTTTTGGATGATTTGGATTTTGTGAAATAAAATAGGGTTTACGTTTTGGGTGATTTCAAGTGTTTTATAATAGATCTATAAGTGAAATTTTGTGGATTAATGGTCATAGTTATGTTCAATATGTTTTATAGATTTGAACTTGATTCAATAGTTTAATTGAGGATTATTGAGGTTTAAGTGAGTCAAGGTCTCCGAAAGTAGAATTTTAGGTCCAATGAGGATTTTAAAGTTTTCTTACAATCTACTACTTGGATTGGAGTGAAATTTGTGTGAGAAGATATAAGACTTGTTTACCTATATGTATGAGAATTTTGAGATCAATGAAATGGTAAAAGAAGAGATATTGGCTGTGGGAGATTGGCATCAAGGTTGGAGAAGGAGGCCGGCCAATACTAAAGCACATTTTTGAGGTTATCGTCTATTTGGTAATTCCGATCCTTTTCAAAAATTTTGTGCTTGTTTTTAACTTAGTTTTTAAGAAGTGTACAAAATTTGAATTAAGATCAATGATTCATTCATTAGTTATTGAGGTTTAAATCTGTTGTAGAAATTACTAGGGTTTGGTTAGGATTTAGTTTAAATTTTGGTTAGGATTCGATTTAGGATTAGGGTTTGGGTAAGGTTCGATTTAGGTTTAGGATTTGGTTTAGAGTTTAGGGTTTGATTTATGTTTTAAGGTTTGATTAGGATTTGGTGAGGATTTGATTTAGGATTTAGGATTTTATTTGAGTTTATTTAGGATTTAAGATTTAGTTAGTTTTTAGCCTAAAGTTTGAATGAAGTCCAATAGGATTTCAATTAGGATTAAATTAAGATTGAATTTAGATGTATTTGAAAATTATTTGTAATCATTTTTATATTTCTTTAAGATTTCTTATTGTTTCTTTATAATTTCTTTGATGTTTCTTTGAATTTGATTAAAGCTTCTTTAGCATTGTTATGGTGTAATTAGAGTTTAGTTAGTATTCTTTTAGAGTTAGGATTTTATTGTTGCAATTTCCATTCTACCTTCTAGGTGCTCAGAGCATTCTCAAGCAAGACTTCATGTATTACGACATATTTGGTGAAACTGACGTGAAAAGCTTGAGGTGAAAGGTATTAAGTTTTATTGGTGGTTATTAGGATTGATTATCCATTTAATGGCAAGAAAATTGATTTTAGAGCTTTTAAATTTTTGGAGCTTTAAAGACTATTTTGGAACACATTGGTAATATTTAGATTATCATGAAGTATCATAAGGCTTTATAAACATGTTGGAGCATTTGAAGTATTATAAGGTATTTATTGGAGCATTTCAAGGAACATTTTTGAACATTGTAGAACAAAATGGAAGATGTGTCATCAAGGTCTTTAGATAGGTTGAATATTTTGGATGGACCAAATATCAGTGAGCTTTTTAAAGCATTTTGTATATTCATGGAAGACCAAGAAAGGGTGCAAATAATTGAAAAAGATATCACAAGGGCATTGCAAGGAGTCATCAACAAATTTGAGAGATTTGCAAGGTGCAATATGACTAAGTTTTTATAAGTTTATACATGTGAGATAGAAACATGCCAAATCCTTGAGGCAAAGATGATTTCAAGCTTTCATTTGGCTATTGAATGTGTGATTCATAAAAAGGTGAAGAGATTGCTTAGAGGGGATGTAGAGACATGGTCAAAATTTCAAGAACTTTTGAAGGAAGAATTTATTGATGGAGATGAGGATAAGATTACCAAGCGAAAGTTTTTGAATTGGATAGAGTTGCAACCAGGAAAATATATAGATCTTTATGAATTCTTGAAAAAATTTGACAAGAGATTTTATCAACTCTCATCTTCAAAGAGATAGTCATTGAGTGCTTTAAAGGTAGAGTTGTTTTTAAATGGTGTTGATGATGCTTTGAAAGACGAGATTTTCATGCTTCTTGTAGATGAGTCTATGGAAAGTAGTTGTACCAATAATTGAAAGGAATTGAAAGAAGCAGTGGTTATTTTAGCAAGGCAATAAGAAGTACAAGCTAAAAGAGTTGCAATATGGCATAAATAAGTTTTATTTTGGCTTCTATATCATCTTTATCAATGCAAGGGACTAATCTTAAAAAAAAAAGAAATAGAAGAGCAAGTGAAGGACTTCATTGGAAGAGCCAATTTTTTACAAATGAAAGAAATTGGATCTTATATCAAGGATGGTGAAAGAGAGAACAAATACTTTTTTCAAATTATTATTATAAAAAGTCAAGATATCCAAAATTTTGAAGATAATATTGAGCTCAAGGATTTGGATATTAATGACCATAAGGTTGAAAGCTATGGCTATTCTACATTGAGTAAGTTTATGCAAGTTGGTGATGGCAATTTGAATGGAACATTTCTTTGTGATAAAAAGAAATTTTCTATATTTGAAAGAGGTTAGGATATTTTGCCTAATACTTTGGATTATGTTGAAGAATTTAAGGTTGAACCTTTATGAGAAATGGATTATGGATCTATTGAAGGTTATAATCATGAAGATTGTATGAATTCACAACATTATGATGTGAGAAGTGGTAGGATTATGCATGGATATGATGATGAAAGTCAAATTGCATATGGCTATGAGACCACATATGAGTTGGGTGAAAGAAGTTATGAGTTTTTACATGACTATTATAAAGAGGGTTATGAAATTGCACAAGGTTATGATACTAAATGTGGTTGTGAAACCACAAAGGATTATTGTAAAAGTTATGAAACTTTTCAAGAGCATGAAATTTCAAAATAGCATGAAATTATTCAATATTATAACGTTATACAATGCTTTGAAACATCAAAAGGTTATGATATTTTATAAGGATGCATTCAAGAAGATATAAGGGATGTTATACAAGATTATGTGACAAATAAAGATTATGAAACAAAAGATAAGGGTGCCAAGTCATTGGCTATGATTAAGTTAATTTTGAGTACTTCTCTTTTGGACAAAGGTCAAAGTTACATGGATAATGCACATGTAATAGGAACACAATTGGATTTTGACAAAGATAAGGTTCATCATCAAGTATGGAAATCAAGGGTGGAAAATCTAAAAATCTTCAAATATAAAGACATGGAAAATGGATTTAAAGATTACATGGACATCTTAAATAGGACTTGGAATCAAAGAAATAAGAAAAAAGATACAAGCAAGATGTATGTGGCTATATGGGAGAGGTTTAGATTTAATCTTTTTATTTCAAATTTCCTACCTTACCAATGGTTTGGTCATGTGTAAAAGAGGATATTTCTAAAGTACTTGCACATGGGGAGTAGAGGGAAACATAGGTATTGATATATATATATATATATATATATATATATATAGTTAGAGAAGTATCATTATAAAGTAAGACTGTAGAGGTATGAAAATAGAGGTACTCTTCCAAGATGTAGGTTCCTTAATTTAAGTTTTATTAGTATTTATAAAATAAAAAAAAAAAAAAAGAGGAAAAAAAAAAATTATGTGAGTTAGGAACATTAGAAGATGATGAAAGATTTTTGATATTTATCAAGAAAATGGATTGAAAGATTTTTGAAGAAAATTACATATATTGGATTAAAGAATGATGACAATGGAAGCGAGTGAAGATATTCAAATAAAAA